TTTTTTTAATATACCTCCCCCCCAAAAAATTAATACTTACAAGTTTGGTAATAGGATCTAATGCAATAATGCATCCTGGCCTGGCTGTTGATTGTTGACTGACGATGTCAAAGACTTCACCAACATATTTCTGTTTTTTTTAAAAAAAATTGATAATTTACTAAACAATTAAATTCATATGCAATTAAGAGTAAGTAACAAAATATCAGGCATACCAGATAAATAACAATAAAATTCAAGTGGGCCTAAATATAGTCCCTTTCAACTATAACAATTTCAGGTCTCTAGTCTTAATAGGAACTAACATAAAATTGAAAAAGCACTACAGCTCAGTTGGTATGGAGATAAACAAAAGCAATATTTGAAAACTGTTAAGGAAAAGAAATTATATACATAAATGTGAAAACCTGATTTCAATCTCCTGGAAATGTTCTAAGAATTAGGGCTTTTTAAGCATTAATTTTGAGTTAGGGAGTATACAGCTAAAGAAACAAGATTACATACTATTCAAATACACTGATTTCTTGAGCCATTCATGTCCTGACTGCTTTAGTGAAGGTCACACTGCTTAATTCAGTGGTCTGTTTTCATATCTTTATCATACTTTATCAGCAGCATTTTATCTTGGTGATCATTCCTTTTGCCTCTTTGAAAAATTTTTTTCATTAGGTTTCCATTATATACCACATTCACCCTTTTATTTCCACCCTACTTTTAACAGAGTGTTCCAGCATTCAATCTTTCTTTTTGTTTTTTAACTTTCACTGTAGGTTTGGGAGTACATATGCAAGTGTGTCATATAGGTAAACTCAAGGGCTCTGTTGTACAGATTATTTCATCACCCAGGTACTAAGCCTAGTACCCAATAATTTTTTCTGATCCTCTCCCTCCTCCCACCTTTCACTCTGAAGACAGCCACAGTGTCTGTTGTTCCCTTTGTGTTCATGAGTTCTCATCATTTACCTTCCACGTATAAGTGAGAACAGGCAGTATTTGGTTTTCTATTCCTGTGTTAGTTTGCTAAAGATAATGGCCTCCAGCTCCACCCACATTCCTGCAAAATACATTTCATTCTTTTTTACGGCTACATAGTATTCCATGGTACATATGTACCACATTTTCTTAACCTAATATATCACTAATGGGCATTTGGGTTGACTCCATGTTTTTGCTATTGTGAATAATGCCACAATGAACATTCACATGCATGTGCCTTTATCATAGAATGATTTATATTCCTCTGGGTATAAAGCTAGTAATGGGATTGCTGGGTTGAAGGGCCGTTCTTGTTTTTAGCTCCTTGAGGAAGCACAGTACTGCCTCCTACAATGGCTGAATTAATTTACACTCCCATCAACAGTGTATAAGTGTTCCCTTTTCACCAGCATCTGTTATTTTTTTGACATTTTAATAACAGCCATTCTGACTGGTGTAAGATGGTATCACATCGTGGTTTTGATTTGGATTTCTCTAATAATCAAGTGATACTGAGCTTTTTACCACGTTAGTTGGCCACAAGTATGTCTTCTTTTGAAAAATGCTCATGTCCTTTACCCACTTTCTAATGGAGTTGTGTTTCTCTTGTCAATTTGTTTAAGTTCCTTATAGATGCTGGATATTTAGACCTTTCTCAGATGCACAGTTTGCAAATATTTTCTCCTATTCCGTAGGTTGTCTGTTTTCTCTGTTATGATTGCTTTTGATGTCTTTGTGATGAAATCATTGCCCATTCCTATGTCCAGAATGGTATTGCCTAGGTTGTCTTCCACAGTTTTTAGAGTTTTGGGTTTTACATTTGAGTCTTTAATCCATCTTGAGTTGATTTCTGTATATGATGTAAGGAAGAAATCCAGTTTCAATTTTCTGCATATGGATAGCCAATTCTGCCAGTACCATTTATTAAATAGGGAATCCTTTCCCCATTGCTTGTTTTTGTCAGGTTTTTCAAAGATCAGACAGTTGTAGGTGTGTGGTCTTTTTCCGGGTTGTGTACTGTATTCCATTGGTCAATGTGCCTGTTTTTGTACCAGTACAATGCTGTTTTGTTACTGTATCCCTGTAGTATAGTTTGAAGTCAGATAACATGATACCTCAAAGCTTTGTTCTTTTTGTTTAGGATTGCCTTGGCTACTCAGGCTTTTTTTTTTTTTTTTTTTTTTTTTTGGTTCCATATGGTTTTTTAAAAATGTTTCTCGAGTTCTGTGAAGAATGTTATTGGTAGTTTGATAGGAACAGCACTGAGTCTCTAAATTCCTTTGAGCAGTATGGCCATCTTAACGATAATGATTCTTCCTATCTATCAACATAGGATGTTTTTCCCATGTGTTTGTCTTCTCTGACTTCTTTGAGCAGTGTTTTGTAATTCTCATTATAGAGATCTTTCACTCCCCTAGTTAGCTGTATTCCTAGGTATTTTATTCTTTTTTTGGCAGTTGTGAATGGGACTACCTTCCTGAATTGGCTCTCGGTTTCGCTGTTGGTGGTATATAGGGATGCTAGTGTTTTCTTTTATGTTGAATTTTTGTATCCTGAAACTTTACTGAAGCTGTTTATCAGATCTAGGAGCTTTTGGGCCAAGACACAGGGTTATCTAGATAAAGAAACATGCCACGTTCAAACAGTGATAGTTTTACTTCCTCTCTTCCTATTTGGATGCCATTTCTCTTTCCTGATTGCTCTGGCCAGCACTTCCAATACTATGTTGAATAGGAGTGGTGAGAGAGGTTATCCTTGTTTTGTGTCAGTTTTCAAGGAGAATGCTTCCAGCGTTCGCCCATTCTGTATTATGTTGGCTGTGAGTTGGGCACAGATGGCTCTTATTATTCTGAGGCATGTTCCTTCAATATCTAGTTTACTGAGAATTTTTAATATGAAGGAATGTTAAATTTTATCAAAAGCCTTTTCTGTATCTATTGAAATAATTATGTGGTTTTTGTCTTCAGTTCTTTATGTGATAAATCACACTTAATTTTCCTATATTGAAGAAAACCTGCATCCCGGAAATTAAGCCTACTTGATCACTGTGGATTAGCTTTTTGATGTGCTGCTGAATTTGGTTTGCCAGTACTTTTTCAAGGATTTTTGCATTGATATTCATAAAGAATACTGGGCTAAAGTTTTCTTTTGTGTGTGTGCATGTGTGTGTGTGTCTGCCAGATTTTGGTATCAGGATAATGCTGGCCTCTATAATTAGTTGGGGAAGAGTCCCTCCTCCTAAATTTTTTGAAATAGTTTCAGTAGGAGTGGTACCAGCTCTTCTTTGTACATCTGGTAGAATTCAGCTATGAATCTCTCAGATCCTGGCCTTTCTTTTGTTGTTGCTGGTACGGTATTTATTACTGAATCAATTTCACAGATCCCATGGGTCTGTTCCGGGAATCAGTTTCTTCCTGGATCAGTCTTAGGAGGGGGTATGTGTCCAGGAATGTATCCATCTCTTGTAGGTTTTATAGTCTATGTGCATAGACGTGTTCATAGTAGTTTCTGATTATTGTTTTTACTTCTTTAGAGTCAGTGGTAACATCCCCTTGGTAATTTCTAATTGGGTTTATTTGAATCTTCTAATTTATTAGCTTAGCTAGCAACATATCTTATTAATATTTTCGAAAAACCAACTCCTGGAATTGTTGATCTTTTGAATGTATTTTGTGTCTTGATTTCCTTCACTTCATCTCTGATTTTGATTATTTCTTATCTTCTGCTAGGTTTGGGTTGATTTGTTTTTCCTTCTCTAATTCTTTCAGTTGTGATGTTAGGTTATTAATTTGATATTTTTCTAATTTTTTGATGTAGACATTTTAGTACTATGAATTTCCCTCTTAACACTGCCTTAGCTGTGTCCCAGAGATTCTGGCATGTTATATCTTTATTCTCATTACTTTCAAAGAACTTCTTAGTTTCTGCCTTAATTTCACTATTTACCCAAAAGTCATTCAGGAGCATGTTTTTAATTTCCATGTAATTGTGTAACTGAAGCTATTTTTAAAATCTTAACTTCTATTTTGATTACTCTGTGGTCCAACAGAGTGTTTGGCAGGATTTGGTTCTTTTGCATTTGCTGAGGATTGTTTTATGTCCAATTCTGTGGTCCAATTTAGAGTATGTGCCACATGGCAATGAAAGGAATATACATTCTGTTGTTCTGGGTGGAGAGTTCTGTTGAGGTCTGTCAGATCCATTTGGTCCAATGCTGGGTTCAGGTCTTGAATATCTTTGTTAACTTTCTGCCTCGATGATCTGTCTAATACTGTCAGTGGAGTGCTGAAGTCTCCATTATTACTGTGTGGGAGTCTATGTCTCTTTGTAGGTTTTTAAGAAGTTGCTTTATGAATCTGGGTGCTTCAATGTTGGTTGCATATATATTTACCATAGTTAGGTCTTCTTGTTTAATGATCCCTTTACCATTGTGTAATGCCCTTCTTCGCCTTTTTAAAAAACTTTGTTGGTTTAGACTCTGCTTTGTCTGAAATCAGGATGGCAACCGTGCTTTTCTCTGATTTCCATTTACTTGGTAGATTTTTCTCCATCCCTTTATTTTGAGCCTATGGGTATCATTACATGTGAGATGGGTCTCTTGAAGACCACATACCATTGGGTCTTGCCTTTTTTTTAAAATCCAGCTTGCCACCTATACCTAGTATGTGGGTCATTAAGCCTGTTAACATTCAAAGTTAGTACTGATATGTGTGGATTTTTATTGTGTTTTTAGCTGGTTATTATGCTAGTTTATTTGTGTAGTTGCTTTATAGTGTAACTGGTCTGTGTATTTAAGTGTGTTTTTATATTAGGTGGTAGTGATCTTTCCATTCAATATTTAGTACTCCCTTCAAGACCACTTGTAAGGCAGGTCTGGTGGTAGCAAACTCCCTCAACATCTGTTTATCTAAAAAGGATCTTATTTATTCTTAACTTAGGAAGCTTAGTTTGGCTGGATATGAAATTCTTGGTTGAAGACATTTTTAATTTTAGGATGTTGAATATAGGCCCCCAGCCTCTTCTGGAGAAATATGGAACACTTCACAGACCTGCATGTCATCCTTGCACAGGAACCATGCTCATCTTCTCTGCATTATTCCAATTTTAGTGTATGTGCTGCTGAAGTGAGCACACATTCAACCTTTCTATCCCTTCTTAAGATGGTATCTTAAGAACTGGAGTGCAGTGGTGTGATCTTGGCTTACTGCAAACTCTGCCAACCAGGTTCAAGTGATTCTCCTGCCTCATCCTTCCGAGTAGCTAGGACTACAGGTGCCTGCCACCACATCTGGCTAATTTTTGTATTTTTAGTAGATGAGGTTTCACCACATTGTCCAGGCTGTTCTCAAACTTCTGATCTAAAGTGATCTGCCTGCCTCGACCTCCAAAGGTGCTGGAATTACAGGTGTGAGCCATCACTCCCGGCCTATCATTTCTGTTTTCCAACTATAGTCTCACCCTCGATGATTTCATCCACTTCTACAATCTTAAATTTTTAGGCTGACAACCACTGTATATCTTCAGGCCAGACCTCCCTCTGAATTCCAGATACTAGCCTACAACGTATCTTGGATGTTAAACAGGCATCTCAAAATTAACATGACCAAAGTCAGACTCCCGAATTTCCCTGCCCCTCAAAACTGGCTACTTATACATTCTTCCGCATCTCAATTCACAGTAATTCTATTCTTCCTAATATTCAATCACAAATCTTTGGAGTCCTCTTTTTTCTCACACACATACCATACCATAACCATATCTCACACACACATACCATATCCACACCATTCCTAGCTATTCAATGTTCTATAACAACATCTAGAATTTGGCCACTCTTATCATCTCTGTTGTTACCACTTGCTACATTCTAAGCCCCTTTTTTCTCTCTCCTAGACTACTAATTGGCTCCTAAATTGGTCTCTCTGGATGTATTTCTGAATCCCAGGTATGATCTATATACCCACCAGAGGAATACATTTAAAATCTAAATCATTTCATACCTCTTCTATGGTTTCCATGTTATTCAGAGTAAAAGCTGAAGTTACAACAATGGCCTATGAGGCTTCATATTACCTGGCCAGGCTAACTTTTTTACTTTATCCCTGACTACTTTCCACCTCACATGCTCTGCTTCAATTACAATGGCCTTCTTGCTGTTCCTTTACATACTGTGTTAGTCCATTTTCACACTGCTATAAATAAATATCTGAGACTGGGTAATTTATAAATAAATTTTAACAGACTCACAGTTCTGCATAGCAGGGGAGCCCTCAGGAAACTTACAATCATGGCAGAAGGTGAAGCAGAAGTAAGCAACTTCTTCACAAGGTGGCAGGAAAAAAAGCATGCAGGGGAAACTGCCACCTTAAAAACCATCAGATATTGTGAGAACTTACTCACTAACATGCAAACAGCATGAGGAAACTGCCCCATGATCCAATCACATCTCACCAGGTGCCTCCCTTGACATATGGAGATTACAATTCAAGATGAGATTTGGGTAAGCACACAGCGATAAACCATATCAATCTAACCCAGGCCCCTCCCAAATCCCCTTTCCACATTTCAAAACCAATCATGCCTTCCAAATAGTCCCCCAAAGTCTTAACTCCTTCCAGCAATAACCCCAAAGGCAAAGTCCAAAGTCTCATCTGAGACAAGGGAAGTCTCTTCTGCCTATGAGCCTGTAAAATCAAAAGCAAGTTGCTTACTTCCAAGATACAATGGGGGCACAGGCATTGGGTAAACGTTCTGTTCCAAATAAGAGAAAATGGCCAAAACAAAGGGGCCACAGGTTCCATGCAAATCCAAAACTTGGCCAGGTAGTCATTAAATCTTATGTCACCAAATCTCCTTTGACTCCATGTCTCACATCCAGAGCACACTGACACAGGGGTGGGTGGGTTCTCACAGAATTGGGAAGCTCTACTTCTGTGGCTCTGCAGGGTAGAGTAGCTGTGGCTGCTTTCATGGGCTGGTATTGAGTGCCTATGGCTTTTCCAGGCAAATGGTACAAGCTGTCAGTGGCTCTACCTTCTGGAGTCAGCAGGATGGTGGCCCTCTTCTTACAGTTTCACGAGGCAATGCCCCAGTGGGGACTCTGTAGGAGGCTCCAACTCCACATTTTTCCTCTGCATTGCCCTAGTAAAGGTTCTCCATGAAGGCTCCTCTCCTGCCGCAGACTTCTACCTGGACATCCAGGTGTTTCCATACCTCCGCTGAAATCTAGGTGGTTGCTGCCAAGCCTCAACTTTCATCTTCTGCATACCAGCAGGTCCAACACCACATGGAAGCTGCCAAGTCTTAGGGCTTGTACCCTCTGAAGCAACAGCCTGAGCTGTACCATAGACCCTTTTAGCCATGGCTGGAGCTGAAGCAGCTAGGAGGAAGGGTGCTGAGTCCCAAGGCTGCACAGAGCAGCTGGGCCCTAGGCCTGGCCCATGAAACCATTTTCCCTCCTAGTCCTCTGAGCCTGTGATGGGAGGGGCTGCCATGAAGATCTCTGACATGCCCTGGAGACATTTTCCCCATTGCCTTGGCTATAAACATTCAACTCCTGGTTACTTATGCCAATTTCTGTAGCCAGCTTGAATTCTTCTCCAGAAATGGGTTTTTCTTTTCTACCACATAGTCAGGCTGTATATTTTCTAAACCTTTATGTTCTGCTTCCCTTTTACAGATAAATTAACTTAAATTTCAATTTCAAACCATCTCTTTGTGAACACATACAACTGAATGCATTCAGAATAAGCCAGGTAACTTTTTGAATGCTTTACTGCTTAGAAATTTCTTCTGCCGGATAACCTAAATCATCTCTCTCAAGTTCAAAGTTCCATAGATCTCCAGGGCAGGGACAAAATGCTGCCAGTCTCTTTGCTAAAACTTAACATCAGTGACCTTTGCTCCAGATCCCAGTAAGTTCTTCATCTCCATCTAAGACCACCTCAGTCTGGACTTCGTTGTCAATATCACTAACAGCATTTTTGGTCAAAACTATTCAGCAAGTCTCTAGGAAGTTCCAAATTTTCCCACATCTTCCTGTCTTCTTCTGAGCCCTCCAAACTGCTCCAAGCTCTGCCTATTACCAGTTCCAACATCACCTCCACATTTTTGGGTTATCCTCATAGCAGTGCCCCACTCCTGGTACCAACTATACTGTTTTCACACTCTATAAAAGAAATACCTAAGACTGGGTAATTTATAAATAAAGTAAGTTTAATTGACTCCCAGTTCTGCATGGTTCAGGAGGCCTTAGGACACTTTTAATCATGGCAGAAAGCAAAGGATAAGCAAGCATCACTTCACAGGTGTTGGAAGATAACATGCGCGCAGGAGAAACTGCCACTTTTAAAACCATCAGATCTTGTGAGAACTCCCTCACTATCATGAGAACAGGATGGGAGAACTGCCCCCATGATCCAGTCACCTCCCACCCAGGTCCCTCTCTTAACACATGGAGATTATAATTTGAGATGAGATTTGGGTGGGACACATAGCCAAACCATATCACATACCAAACATGCTCTGGCCTCAGGATCTCTGAACTAGCTGTCCTTCTTCCAAATTACTCTCCCTTTAATAAATATTTACATATCTAGCTCCCACATCTCCTTCAGATCTTTGTTCAAATGGTACCTTTTCTGTGAACTTTTTCCTGAATAGCAACTTAATTGGCAATCCCTAATTCTTCTGCAACACTATTTCTTTCCATAGTATTTTTAATTAATATATTTTTATCTGTTTTCTTCCTATCTCCCTTCACCAGAATATAAGTTCTATGATACAAAATGTTTATCTGTTTTCTTCACATCTAAATTCCCATTACTTAAAAATGCCTAAGAGAAGACCCCCACCCCCGCAAAAAAATATATATGCATTTCTACTGTAACACTATATACTTGTTTTGGAAAACCTTGTGTTCTGCAAAATTATGCACTAAAATTAGCTTACTGAAAAACAGGATTGGTACAGATCACTGATATTTACACAACTCTGTAAGCAGAGAATTAACAAATACATTAATTGGTAGTCAGGGAGATGGCTTAAATCTCCTAAATAGAAAGCTTGGTACAGCTGAAGGCTGCCTCTGGGGATACTAAAAGAAAAATCAACAAAACCTAATACTTGCCTGTTGAATGTTCCAAGACAGTGTAGTTAGAAGGTTCCTATTAGATGGGTATGAGAAGAAATGTAGCCGTCATAAGGTAAAAGCCTTGCAATAGTACTCAAAGAACTCTTGCCTGAATTGGAAGCAAGCTAAGGGCTGTTTCCTTTCATGCTTAAGATTAAAATTCTATTCCTGTTGTCCCAGCTCCTCTTGCTTATAAAATAACTGCAGATGGTCCAATATAACTTCCAGACTCTACTTTCTTTCAAAGAGTGAAAGAAATGGTTTCCTTTTAAAGGCGCTTAGAATCATTATAAGAGTACAATACAAATGTGAAAAATAAAACAAAGACACAAATGCTTATTATAAATTATAGGCCACAATTCTAGAACATGCCCAATAAATACAGATAAAGTATCTAAAAACATAATATTATATACTTAAGTTGTTTTAAAAGACATTACTTACAGAAATTTCAGGGTTAGAAAGCTCAGATAAAAGTTTCTTAGCATCAATAACTGCTTCATATAATCTCAGATATTGTCCATCACTGGCTACAAAGCATGCACTAGGAGAGTTGCAGTATGCACCTAGAAAGTATTTACAAATATTAAAATTTCACCCTTTTACGATAATGTCAGCAAATCTAAATTACTGAAATAAATGCCAGAATACTTACCAAGACAATAACTGGGTATAAGAGTGGGTAGCCATGCCACATTGGAAAAGGCAGAAACATGAAGAGAATTAATCCGGGCAAGCTCAGAAACTCCTCCCGAAAAAGACAATGGCCCAACTGGGTCAACCCTCCAAAGAATAAGCTCACTGTAAACTGCATTGGGATCCTGAAATGCCATGTCAACAGTGCTTTTATTTTGTTGTGTCAAAGAGCAATCTTCAGTGTTTAAAGCATCAAAAGGTTGCTTTGGGTTATCAACATCTGGTGTCCTTAATGCATTATGGTGTGAAGTTGTCAGCAATAATGGTAACACTGAGTGGCAAGCTAAATCATTAAGATGAAAACG